GGGGGGAGGGGGCTGGGGGTCAAGAGTGAGGATCAGGGGGTTCAGGAAAGAGCAAGAAAGGAAGAGGGAGACTGGGGAGGCGGCAATAGAGGGAAAGCGGCTCGATCTATCGGACCGTTTATCATATAGATTCTAAACTTTAGTAGTCTTTTAAAATTCATTTTACAATCTTAAGGTTGCAAGCGATCACTAAAGTATAAATAACAATCATGAGCTTAAACAAAGCCAAGGGAATGTTTTCCTCTTACCATATCCATTTCTTTCTAATCGTTTAAATCCTGTGTAGGATAAAAAAAAGATCAAAAGGATTAAAAGGGAAAGAAGCATTTAAGAGGCTAGTTACTGCATGTCTATGTGTTGCGCACCATAACGACCATACATGTTTACTCTATATGTTTTGATTCATTTTTATTTTTATTATTGAAAATATTAGCATACGATTTGTGAGACATCTCAAATGCAGTAACGTTTTATATTAAACCAAAATAAAATATCAAATATAAAGCTAGAATATCTAATATTTGTTCTCAATTAATAAGTGTTTTGTTATTCCCTGCGTGGGTGTATCCTTATTAAGTGGCACAAGTTTATCAGTAACCCCGTGTTACTGACACGTGTTTTTACTAATCCTAATGAAGTCGTTATTATTGAGGAGTTAACGAATATGGAGACATCATTTTTGGTCGTATCCCCCCCCCCCCCCCCCAAACTAAAAACGTCTTTCTTACAACCAAAACAAGTCTATAAATACAGAATGCATACCTGTCATTTCTCTGCCTTTACGCTGGGGGAGTGCTGAAAAAGACAATATCAATTAAGCCTAGGGATCGGAAATTTAGATTGTGGGCGAGGCGTCGTCATTTTCGTTTTCTTGGAAAAGAGTTCGATTTTTTTCGAGTTTTTCCATTTTAATTTGGTGCAAAACGTTTTGTGAAAACCTGTTTTTACATTTACTATTCCGACTCGTTTTCTGATAGTAAGCCGCAAGGACAAATATTTTGTTGTTCTTTCACCAGGGAAAAGGAATAGTTATCATCACTAGCTGTAGGTACACCTACTGGTTACCAGTGAAAGACATGCAGATTACCATTTTAGCGTTTAAATAATATATATGCTAAACAAGAGTTCAACATTTTACGCAATTATTCACGCCCTTCTCGGAATGCCGCTCTTAACCTGCACGGAAATCTATGATCCTCTCCTTATTTGTACAAGCTTCCCTCCTCCTCCTATGATTAAACTACTTGCCCCTCAAGCATAAAGAAACAAGCTCAGCCACTTATACTAGCAATTTGTGCGCATTTAGAACGTGAACTGTAAATCACTGAAGATAATGAACAAAAGTACGTACCATCTTCTTCGAAGAAGTGCGGTGCTGCAGTCAGAAATAAAACAAAAGAAACGATTAGCCGTTTGTAAGGTCATCTTGAGTATATGACATCCATGGTTAGAGATGTTAAAGATCTGCTTATTTGGGTAGTTCCTTTTGAAGGGTCAGACTTTAAATTTAGGTTAACCAATCAGTTTCAAAACCTTTCAATTTATCAAACCCTGAAACAAACCTTTGTGCTTATCTAAGTCAGGGCACAGCTACCTCGCAGACAAACCTTGAAACATCCGAGTCTGGACTGATCAAAGTGAGGGCACGGCTATAACTTACAGACCTCACAGAGTGAACTGGGGTTTTGCGGAAGGAAACTGGGGAACCCAGGAAGGGAGAGACCCAATAAACTCTGCTCAAAAAGGATAAGAAGAGCGATTTATGGATGTAAGGATAGTGGGTGATTGTTTCAAAAAATATCCTTAAAAAGCAACAGATCGCAATATCCCTTGATGGACGTGCCTCGATAAGTACTTAAGACGCATTATGATATAGTTATGATAAAAGGGTAAATTATACACCGTGAAAAGATGAAAAAACTTACTGAAGTTTCGGACGCTTGTCCTTCGTCGGAGTAAAAGGAAAACGTCATTAAGTTTTTTCATCTTTTCACGGTTCATAATTTACCCTTTTACATTACTGTTTCATCAGAAACACCGACGCAGCTCACACTTGTTTTTAGCTAGTTATCTCTTCTCTTCACATTATTATATAGTGTGGACCATTGATATCGATGTTAAAAAACATGGAAACATGACAAGTTCTTAAACCAAGTCATAAACTACCATCAAGAAGGCGGATACTGAGCTTTAAAGGAAATATACACTGAACATACCTGACAACGCTTGCATAACTACCATGCACATCAAAACTAGTATTAGACAGGTCTTCATGATAACAGAACTCTTGAATACTAAACCAGCGACAAAACTACAGAATGAGAACTTCTTCGTAAAACTAAAAGAAAAATGAAAAGAAAAGAAAGTGATGTGAAATTATTAGCCTCTTTATAATCTAGAATACTCTTAATGATACAATTAACTAGTGAACTTGAGGTATATTTGCTGTTCGGATTTTCTTTCAACTCCATTAGCGGATTTACTGAAAGATTGAGTTTTGTGCCGCAAAAGCTTTTATTGCTCAGTTCTGACTTCTTAAAGCTTTGATAAATTTCCTGCTGTAACCTAGCAACGTAACCGTCTTACAGTGTATTGGACTACTTGTTTTGCACTCTTTTAGCATGGTTTCTATTTATAATCTTTCTCCAGTTATTGTTGTGTACAATGTGGATCAACTACAAAATTCCAAAGTTTTTTATTTTTCGCAGCCATAGAAAACCTAACAGCTTGAAAAGTTAATTTAAGCTTAAATGAATAAGAAGCCTGTATTTTTCTCTCTCTAGTTTTTTAGTACGTTTCTGTGTTAGAACATAAATAAGTTTAAACTTATATTTCTAGAAATATTTTTTGGTCAAGAATCATTGCACTGAAAATATTACAATAATTTGTCTTGTTCACGATGTAATTTATTGAAGAAAATTATTGTAATGATTTTAGAATTACCTTTTTTTGTTTAATACTATTAATGCTTCAGTAAAAGTAGCTTAGTTGTTGCTGTTTGTAACTCTTACTTATTTCTTTGTTATCCACGTAGAGAAACATAAATTTAAAGAAGCAAAATAACAAAGAGTAGTGTAGGACCTCTAGCTTTTAAGTCATGAAAGTTGAAAAAAAGTAGAGCGTATCGCTGATTGAAATAGTTTTGTAGTACACTCACCTTTTAGTGACGTCGTAGAAACTTACTCTGCAACTGATTTCTTTACTCGAGTATTTACGTATTTTTATACCCAAATCTTGAAACCAATTAATCTTGAAAAAAGCTACTTTTGACAGTTCATCTATTCCCGATGTCGTCTTAAAGTCATTGGATCGCGCGTTCATTTACAAAAGAGCACAAAATGAGCAAGTGTAAATGTATGACATTTAATTGAAGGTTTAAATCTGTCATAAATATTTCCTGTATTAAGGAAATTGGTTAACGAAGAACAAGAGACCATCTTTAAGGAAAATCATAGCTTTGTTTTCTCGTACGGAAATTAGTGGTCGCGGCCTCGTACAAAACGCTAGAGTGACTATATATTCCGGCTTCAATTTTCCCTATTTATTTTCCCTATTCTTCTAGAAATCTGTGCTAGAAAAATGTTCTTATTTCTCATTCAATGATCAACTGAAGTATTTAATAATAAAATAATAAAGATAAAATGATGAAATAATGAAATGATATTTTTTATCACATTTATTGAAAATGGACAAACATCATTGCTAGCGTTGACTAAAATATATTTTTTCTCACTGTAATAGACAACGAAACCCCTTTTTATTGGATTATTTGTTTTTAGTTCCTGTTTAATGTTTGTGTTTGATTTGTAATCTGATTCTTTAGCGT